TCAAACATGTGGGATATGGAATGGGTGGGAACAATCAGCCATGTTTGAGAGCTCCGGGGACATCTCTGGAGATGTCGGTGCTGATATGAGACACGAATTGGATGGGCGCAACAACGGCGCTAGGTGAGGGACTGGACGTTTGCAATGAAATGAAACCAAGGCACACGCGTATACCATATCTGAATACGACAGCAACGGAGCTTGGGAGCCCGGAGTGCATCTCTCCTTGAGCGGGAGGGACGGGAAGGGATTTTTTGGCTTCTTGCATTTCTGAGGCGCTTTCTCCCTGTTATGAAATGATGGATGGTGGCCCCCTTTATGAAGCTTGTTTTGAATTCTAATGCTGAGGGTTTGGAGAATATGGGCGAGAGGCTTGTGGGGAGATTATGGAGAGATGTATGTGCATACAGAGAGGGACGATGGGCCCAAGAGGGATCTACTACATATAGGATGTGGAGATGGAGATGGAAATGGAGATGGGTCTGGGGGCCGCAAGGCGTGGGTAATAGGGGAGGTAGTCAATACCACCATATCATTTTCCATGACTTCATTACTCTATACTCGGCCTTTTGTCGGATCTGTGAGTGATGCAATCAGGTTGCTCCACCATTAACTCCTGTTGCCGAGCTGGTTGAGCAGCTCATGCTGAATGCATCGAGTCGCACCTCCTCACTGGCCCTTCACTCTGAACACCAATCTCCCGCCCCATGGCTTTGCTTCTTCCGTCTGGCTGCCATCGTGCTTCTGTGTTAGGGCTTGCAGTGCTGTTTTGGCCATGTGCTCATCAACTGTCTTGGAGATGTTGGCATATTGTACGCTGGTCGGGCCGAAGGTGTGGAGGGCGTTGCGGAGGGACGATTGCAGCTATTATATGAGTTAATGAGTGTACGCTCGACGGGAACGGGGGAGCGTGATTGATAGACTATACGAGGGGGAGGGAGGAGATTGCGCGCTCATGGTAGAGAAACAAAAACGAAGAATTGCGAGCTTAAGAGTGTATGTAGGATTGTGCCATCTGTAACATGTACCACCACCGTACGTACAACTTTCCAAAAAAAAAATAACCCCCTCCCCCCCTCCCGCCGCCCCCAAATGGAAAAAGGAAACGTATGACGGGAAAACAAAAAGGATGCGGTGGTGGTGCTGGCGTCGTAACCAGAGGAAAAAGTATCAACTCAAGACTTTGGAATAATAATCAACCCATCCATACAAGGAGATTAATTAGAGACTAACAAGTAACTAACGGACTTACAGAAAGGAGCAGTTCGTCTTGATGACTTGACATAATGTATGTACGTCGTATGTATGTATGGCGGCGCCCCGACGACGCACGGCGCAGAATCGGATGAAGAAGAGTTGACGCGTGGGCCTTTCAAAGAAATCTTCCGGGGTTTCTTTCCTTCTCTCTCTCTCTCTCTCTCTCTTTCTCTCTCTCCCTCTCCTACTTAATAAGACCAAATCCGAACAGGTAGTGGTCAACAATTAATTAGCAAAGTGGGTCGGCTTTCTGCGAATCTTGTACTGTACAGGTGATGTCCGTGGTTTTTTTAGAGCCGGGAGAAGAAGCTTGGAAAAGCAGGGAAGGGGTGGTATTATAGCGGGGGAAACCCTGTCTACTCTCACAGTACAATGCAATTCACTCTACAAAGTATTAGGTACATGGTAATGCCCTTCACGACAAAACCATATATATATACAATACAGAGTAGATTCAAAAAGAACCATGATCCAGGCACAGCAGATCACCACCCATCCCGGCACTTCCAGCATCTTCATCCAATGCCTATGGCTCTAATACCAAATGCCCTAGCCTGGAATAGCTCGGCTACGACGCCAAGCATCCATCGACCCACACTGCCAACAAAAAATTACTCTACCTGTCTATCCATCTAGATAGATGGGCAAAAAAGTAATGTTGATGAGGGTGGGATTCGAACCCACGCGGTTACCCACTGCGGGGATTCAAGCTATAGAAGCAGCCTAAACACAGCGCCTTAACCACTCGGCCACCTCACCGTTTTGCTTCTTGAACAATATTGAAATTTTTTGAAACAATGCGTATGTATCGTTATCAAATCTTATGATGAGAAGTAAGCATGTGAATAATGACAATCTCGCAATGCGGGGAACACTAACAAGCGATAACACGGTCAGGGTAAAGGTCTTTCCGACATGTGGGGCGCGAGTCCGGCCCGCGTGGTCGAACGTGCGTGCGGCTTTAGTCTAGGACTTTTATCAGTTCAATTGCGATCAACATATAATTAAGCAACAAGACACATTCATATATAAACGTCTTGTTAACACTTGATTTGCATTGCTTTACAGTTTAGTTCTTCTGCCAAAATCCGTGTATCAAACTCCTGCAAGCTAAAGAGGTACTTTGACACTGTGTCTGCAAGGATGTAGCACTATATGTACGATCAAGCTTTAGCTTTAAAACCATGAGAAGAAGAAAAAGCTGTCTGAGCCGCAGGTTAACAAATATCATCCAAGTAACTTTACTTGATGATACGAAACTGCGATTGGTGTGGACTAGCTAAGCCTTTTGATACATGAACAAATCCCATTGAGCTTCATATGGTAAATCGCCTCTTTTTGGCTCCCGACTTTTGGTTCGCTAATAATTACTCTGGATTTCGAGTTTTCGTCTGCAAAGGTGGTTGCGTCGCACCCCACACCCCAGAGTAAGCAACAATTTCGATAAATTCACCCAAGTACCAGGCAGGTGGGTTACGCCCATAGTACGCGAACATATAATGATTTATACCTGTAGTATTAGTTAGACGTTAAGAAGAAGAAAAACTTCTACTAGACCCTTTTGCATCTGCCATAAGTCACTTTGTACGTCTTGGAGTCATTTCCTATATACAGTAGGCCATGGTGGCCATACGGAGAAATGGCCACGTGTAGCCTGTCCTCGGTGACGCTTCTTGGATAGAGAGGAATGGTTGGGAAAATCATATCAACAGTTTCGATCGCTTCGAGACCCATGGCGACGAGTACAAAGCATGGGCCGCTCTAGTAGTTTCAATCATCTCACACTTTGTTATAACCTTCAAAAGAACTCTGATTCCAAAGACTAAAAGGATTTCTCCTAAAAGTATGTAAGTGAAAACGCAATAGGTATTCTTCCCTCTTAGAAGTGTATTAACATTTATTTCCTTCTCTAGTCACTGAATAGCTCACTGTCTTGATTTGCTGGGATCACAATGAAAAGCCCAACGAAGTGGGGAAGGGATGCCTACAGATTTACCCAACGGAGTGATTAGTGTACCACTATTTTGGGCAGACGGTGACTAAAAGAAGACTGAGATGACATTTGTGGCCGGCAGTATGGGCATGAACCCCACCGAGGGCAGCACTACCGTGTAATCCAAGTCTGGCTAGTGGTCGAAGAAGGATCAGAAGTCAGTCAGATCCAGAGTTTAGGTTCAAGAAGATATACATTTCTTTCCTTGGTGAAAGATGAACCAGAATTGAGAAATTTGGCTCTTTTTCCCAACAGAGCGTGCATATATGGACACGTTCCCTTTGCTCTAACTATTTACTCACACTCACACTCACACTCACACTCACACTCACACTCACACTCACACTTACGCATACTCACACTCACACTCACGCATATACACACTCACGCATACACACACTCACGCATACACACACTCACGCATACACACACTCACGCATACACACACTCACGCATACACACACACACACACACACACACACACAATTAGTATCCTTCTTCCGCGATTATAACACATCTGCCACGTATCTATCCTCCACCATCAACCACAACACCAAGAAGACATCCGTCTGCATATACATCCCCTACCAAATACAGCGGTTCTTCGCATAGTCTTCTCTAAACCACCCTCGAGCCTTACTCTTACGCACCTTGAGAAAAGAAATATGTCCGTTTTGGAGAGCTTCACAATGCCTGCCAACCTGAAGGGAAAGCATATCCTAGCGCCCCCCCACAATCCGCGGGTGCGTTATCCTCGTCACACTTTCGAAGTCAGCGAAGCAAAATCCGGTAGTGCACCTATTCCCATCCCGATCTGCGCCAGGTTTAGCAGCTGGAACGAGTACGGCGACCATACAGAAGCACAAGCAGCTCTGAAAAATGCTCGCTACCTGCCTGAACCCATCCATCACGTACGGGACGATATCACAGATTACAATTTAAGGTCCTCCTGGGCCTCATATCATGAAGCTAGATTATCCGAGGCCAATCAGAATATCGAACAAGTTCGGGTCCCCTACCAACAATCAAGCCAAGGTCGGCCCCGTCAGCCTCTGAAGAGGAAAGACGCCAAAATCACGCCTGATACAGTTTCCTATTGGAGCAATATTCGAGGGCAAAACTGCTTATTGTGGAAGATGATGGCGGATAAAGTTGGCTTTGTTGAAGCAAACAGATGGTGGAGAAAAGAGGTTCGTGTTCCTAACGAGAAAGAGAATGTGGCCTTGGAGAAGAAAGAAGACGAGGAGTTTGAAAACTTTGGGAAGCCTGAAGAGTCTCCCAAAACCAATGAGTGCAAGATGATCAACTTGAGGGACTCAGGCTATGGAAGCGGATCTTGTCATAGCCTGATTGCAGATGTCTTGGACCCAGTGCAAAAGGTAAGATGGGGAGTAGATTGTAGTACATAATAATGCAAAAACATTAAACAAATAAATCAAAAATCACCTCAGCCTTACTGTGTAGACACACCCTTGCAAGCTGCCGTTTAGCACGTCATTTGGCACTAGCATCTTTTCGACATCCCCACAGTTATTACGACACCGGAAACGCGTCTCTATTATTAACATTAAGTAAACCCTCATAATACCCCACAGTTCTCTTTTCTTCTCTTCTCTTCTCTTCTCTTTTCATTTCATTTCATTTCACTTCTTCGTTTAACTTCTCCCATCGATCAATTGACACCCCACCACCAGTGACAACATGGCTACGTATGCCCCTCCATGCCCCTCCATGCCCCTCCATTACTTTTTCAATATTAATACCAACCCCAGCAACATTACCTGGCACCCGTCTCTCTCCCGCAGCGAGCGAAACACCCTACGCAAGCAGCGCGGCTTCACCATATGGTTTACCGGGCTCAGTGCGTCCGGAAAGTCTACAATTGCAACCGCGCTCGAGCAGCATCTCCTACACCTCGGTCTCGCTGCCTACCGTCTCGATGGTGATAATGTACGATTCGGCCTGAATAAGGACCTTGGGTTCACCGAGAAGGATAGGAACGAGAACATTCGCAGGATAGCTGAGGTATGAGCACGCGGTACCCTACATACATACAACCCCCGGATCACGACATTGAGGCGTCGAGCACGCAATGCGTCCAGGACCAGAACGAGCGTTGGCAAAGAAGCAATCAGGGAACTGACTTGGTCGAACTGTAGGTTGCGAAGCTCTTCGCCGATAGTTCCACCATCGCCATCACATCCTTCATCTCCCCCTACAGGGCAGACCGCGCCATCGCCCGCAATCTTCACGCCGAGGCGAAAACGCATCCCGACGACGAGCCAATCGCCTTTATTGAAGTCTTCGTCGACATCCCGATCGAGGTTGCCGAGCAACGTGACCCCAAGGGTCTCTACAAGAAGGCTCGCGAGGGAAAGATTCCCGAGTTCACCGGTATCAGCGCGCCATACGAGGAGCCCGAGAATGCCGAGGTCAGGATAAGAAGTGACCAGAAGAGCGTCGAGGAAGCGGTTCAAGAGATTGTCGACTATTTGGATAAGAAGGGCCTGTTAAAGTTGAGCAGCGCTGATGGGCGGGGTTTGGAGTACTAGATTTGGGTTGGGGTATCGGGAACGATTTTGGGCATCAATATAATGTTTTATTGACCAATGAACTCGAATTCCTACATTTGCTCACATCGACGATACTGCACCTTGATCGTCTTTAATTCATCTTGGTGTATTTCGTTCCAACATGTCCACAAATCCTTCATATACCTCGTTTATGTGCAATTTTCAGTAACAGTGATGCCTCAATATTTTTTGGCGTGCTCTTTGGTTCCATAAATGCAGTGCAACATACCACGCAGGTTTAATCGGCCCGGACACTCAATCGATACCGTTTGTCTTTTTGTTCCTCTAGATTGCCCATATTGTTGTCCAATGTCACGTATCTAATTTCTTCTCAAACCCCCACTCCACATGCACGGGGAAACACATTCAAAGCCTTACAGCACCGGAAAACCGACGTAGAAGTGTGTTTACCACCCATGCAACCATCTATCCTAACGGATTATAGCTTTTATGCAGCCGCAATCTTTTGTTTCCTTTTTGACTTTTGAGCGTGTGCCATGTTGTACATATATCAAAAGAGGAGACACAATCTGACACGCCCTCGTGAATTATTCCATGTACAGCGATTCTTGTTTGGAAAGCACACAAGTGTAAAAGTCTCCTGCGAGATGATCAAAGGAACGAGTGCAAAATTATGCGAGGCCCCTGGGGGGTAAATGAGTATTTGATTTAGTACGTACGTACGTACGTACATACATACTGCTGTATTTTCACACTGCTCACATATGTACATGTACATAGATAGGAGAGGAGCAATTAGTAGGGGGGGGGGG